CAAAACCCCCCTGAGAAGCCCAAAACCCTCTTGAGACCCCCAATTTTCCCCACAGGAGCCCCCCAAAACCCCCCAGACCCCTTAAAAATCCCCTCATAGCCCCCCCAAAAACTCCTCCTGATCCCCTCAAAACCCCTCAGAGACCCCCCCAAAACCCCTCTAAGAGCCCCCCAGATCCCCTCCTGCCCCCCCAAAAACCCCTCATACCCCACCCAAATCCCTTTGTGACCCCCCCAAATCCCCTCCTGACCCCTCAGAGACCCCCCCAAATCCCCTCCTGATCCCCCAAAACCCCCCCAGAGCCCCCCAAACCCCTCTAAGAGCCCCCAGACCTGGTGCTCCTGGAAGGGGGGGTTGTAGGAGCCCCCCTGGCCGATGACCTCCACGGGGGGGAGGGGCGAGGGCCGGGCCTGCAGCCGGGGGGGGCGCTGGGAGAAAGGGGGGGAGGGGGGGGACCCCAAAATGAGACCCCCGGCACTGGGGGGGAGGGGCTCCAAGGGGATTTTTGGGGTGGTTTTGGGGGTCCTGGATGGATTTTAAGGGGTCTTGAGGGGATTTTGGGGGTCTCAGAGGTGGTTTGGGGAGTCCTGAGGGGATTTTGGGGGTCCCAGGGTTGCTCTTGGGGGGTTTTGGGGGCCCTGGATGGATTTTTGGGGGTCTCAAGGGGATTTTTGGGGTGGTTTGGGGGGTCCTGGGTGGATTTTGGGGGGTCCCAGGGTGATTTTGGGGTTCCCAGGGTGGTTTTGGGGGTCCCAGGAGTGTTTTTGGGGTCCCAGGGTAGTTTGGGGGTCCCAGGGATGTTTTTTGGGTCCCCAGGGGTGGTTTTGGGGTCCCAGGCTGTTTTTGGGGTGTTTTGGGGTCCCAGGGGTGTTTTTAGGGTTCCCAGGGTGGTTTTTGGGGTATTTTGGGTTATTTTGGGGTGCTTTTGGGGTCCCCAGGCTGTTTTTGGGGTGTTTTGGGGTCCCACCTGCACCCTGAGCCTCTTGGTCTGCTGCAGGTACCAGGGGTCCTGCCCGGCCAGGGGGGCGTCCAGGGGGTCTGGGGGGGCACAGGGACCTCAGCCAGGGGGGTCCCCAAAACGCCCCCAGCCCCAAAATCCACCCTGCAACCCCAAATCTGCTCCCAAGCCCAAAAATCCCCCCACAATTGTAACAAAGCCCCCAAAATCCCCCCAAATTTCACCAAGCCCCCAAAAATTCCCCCCAAATCTGCCCAAGTCCCGCCAAAATCCCCCCAGGTTGTCCCAAATCCCCCCGGATGGTCCCAAATCCCCCAAAAATCCCCCAAATCCCCCCTATCCCCCATCTCACTCACTGTGCTGCCCCCAGACGGTCCCAAATCCCCCCAGAAGGTCCCAAACCCCCCCAGATGGTCCCAAATCCCCCAGATACCCCCAAATCCCCCGTACCCCCCTCTCACTCACTGTGCTGCCCCCAGATGGTCCCAAATGCCCCCAAACCCCCCCAAATTCCCCCCTATCCCCCCTATCTCACTCACTGTGCTGCCCCCAGATGGTCCCAAACCCCCCCAAATCCCCCCAGATGGTCACAAACCCCCCAGATCCCCCCCCTCACTCACTGTGCTGCCCCCAGATGGTCCCAAATGCCCCCAACCCCCCCCAGATGGTCCCAAACCCCCCCAAATCCCCCTATCCCCCCCAGATCCCCCCCCTCACTCACTGTGCTGCCCCCAGATGGTCCCAAATGCCCCCAAATCCCCCCAGATGGTCCCAAATCCCCCAAACCCCCCCAAATCCCCCCCCTATCTCACTCACTGTGCTGCCCCCAGATGGTCCCAAATCCCCCCAAATCCCCCCGTATCCCCCCAAAATCCCCCCCCTCTCACTCACTGTGCTGCCCCCAGATGGTCCCAAACCCCCCCAAACCCCCCCAGATGGTCCCAAATCCCCCAAAAATCCCCCAAACCCCCCAAAATCCCCCCCATCTCACTCACTGTGCTGCCCCCAGATGGTCCCAAACCCCCCCAAATCCCCCCAGATCCCCCGTACCCCCCCTATCTCACTCACTGTGCTGCCCCCAGATGGTCCCAAACCCCCCCAAACCCCCCCAGATGGTCCCAAACCCCCCCAAATCCCCCCAAATCCCCTCTCTCACTCACTGTGCTGCCCCCAGATGTCGTAGAAGGCCCGGTGGGGGTCGGAGCGCCCCAGCTCCGGGGGTTTTTGGGGGGCTGGGGGCTCCCCCCGGGCCAGGCGGGCCCTGAGGCGCCGCTCCCCCCTGGGGAAGATCCCGAGCGCCGCCCTCTGCTCCCAAAAACGGCGCCGCAGCCGCTCCTTGCGCCCGTTCGGAACCTGGTGGGCACCAATGCTGGGGGGGGACCCCAAAAATGAGAGCCTGGGACCTGGGGAGGGGCCCTGGGGGCATCAACTCAAAAATGAGAGCCTGGGATTTGGGGAGGGGTCCTGGGGGCATCAACTCAAAAATGAGAGCCTGGGACCTGGGGAGGGCTCCTGGGGGGATTTGGGGATCCCTGAGGGGGATTTGGGATGGGATTGACCCAAAAATCCCCACCCAAAAATGAGACCCCGGGATTTGGGATGGGGTCCTGGGGGGATCAACCCAAAAATTCCCACCCAAAAATGAGAGCCTGGGATTTGGGGAGGGGTCCTGGGGGGATTTGGGGAGGGGTCCTGGGGGGATCAACCCAAAAATCCCCACCCAAAAATGAGAGCCTGGGATTTGGGGAGGGGTCCTGGGGGGATCAACCCAAAAATCCCCACCCAAAAATGAGAGCCTGAAATGTGGGGAGGGGTCCTGGGGGCATCAACCCAAAAATCCCCACCCAAAAATGAGAGCCCGGGACCTGGGGAGGGGTCCTGGGGGCATCAACCCAAAAATCCCCACCCAAAAATGAGAGCCTGGGATTTGGGGAGGGGTCCTGGGGGCATCAACCCAAAAATCCCCACCCAAAAATGAGAGCCCGGGACCTGGGGAGGGGTCCTGGGGGGATTTGGGGGTCCCTGAGGGGGATTTGGGATGGGATTGACCCAAAAATCCCCACCCAAAAATGAGACCCCGGGATTTGGGATGGGGTCCTGGGGGCATCAACCCAAAAATCCCCACCCAAAAATGAGACCCCGGGACCTGGGGAGGGGTCCTGGGGGCATCAACCCAAAAATTCCCACCCAAAATGAGACCCCGGGATTTGGGGAGGGGTCCTGGGGGGATCAACCCAAAAATCCCCACCCCAAAATGAGACCCTGGGATTTGGGGAGGGGTCCTGGGGGCATCAACCCAAAAATCCCCACCCAAAAATGAGACCCCGGGATTTGGGATGGGGTCCTGGGAGGATTTGGGGGGTGGATTTGGGGGGTCCTGGGGGGATCAACCCAAAAATCCCCACCCAAAAATGAGACACCAGGATTTGGGGAGGGGTCCTGGGGGCATCAACCCAGAAATCCCCACCCAAAAATGAGAGCCCGGGACCTGGGGAGGGGTCCTGGGGGCATCAACCCAAAATCCCCACCCAAAAATGAGAGCCTGGGACCTGGGGAGGGGTTCTGGGGGCATCAACCCAAAAATGAGACCCCGGGACCTGGGGAGGGGTCCTGGGGGCATCAACCCAAAAATCCCCACCCAAAAATGAGAGCCCGGGACCTGGGGAGGGGTCCTGGGAGGATTTCGGGGGTCCTGGGGGGATCCCAAGGGGATCAACCCAAAAATTCCCACCCAAAAATGAGAGCCCAGGATCTGGGGAGGGGTCCTGGGGGGATTTGGGGGTCCCTGAGGGGGATTTGGGATGGGATCAACCCAAAAATCCCCACCCAAAATGAGACCCCAGGATTTGGGGAGGGGTCCTGGGGGGATTTGGGGGATCCCAAGTGGATCTGGGGGTCCCTGAGGGGGATTTGGGGGGTCCTGAGGGGGATTTGTGGGTCCTGAGGGGGGATTTGGGGAGTCCCAAAGGAATTTGGAGTCCCTGAGGGGATTTGGGGTCTCGGGGAGGATTTGGGGGGTCCCAAGGGGAATTTAGGAGATCTTGGAGGGGATTTTTCTGGTGGAACCCCCCCAAACCCCACCCCAGACCCCGTTTTTGGGGTGAGGAGCCCCCCCCAAAGCCCCCAGACTCACTTTTTGGGGGGAGGCACCTTGGAGAGGGGCTGCAGCACCAGGTCCACGTGCAGGGGCTTCTGGGGGGGCTTCTTCTTCTTCAGGGACCGATCTGGGGGGGTCAGGGCACCCCAAAACCCTCAGAACTGGGTCAGGGTACCCCAAAATCCCAAAATCCGGGGGGGGAAAAAATCTCACTTTTGGGGGTGGCCCCCTTGTCCAGGAAGAAAAGGTCCTCGTTGGGCTGCTCCGAGATCAGACCCCTGGAAAAGAGGTAAAAAATGAGAGATTTACACCAAAAAATGAGAGATTGACACCAAAATTAGAGATTTGCCTCAAAAAATGAGAGGTTCATACAAAAAATGAGAGATTTGCACCCAAATTAGAAGTTTCACCCTCACAAAATTAGATATTTGGCCTAAAATTAGAAATTTCACCCCAATATTAAAGATTGATGCCAAAACTAGAAGGATTTAACGAGGTTCATCTCAATATATGAAAAATTTACACCAAAATTAGAAGATCCCCTCAGGACCCCTCCAAATGCCCTCAAGACCCCTCAAAATCCCACTGAGACCTCCCCAAAACCTCTCACGACCCCCCAAATCCCACTGAGACCTCCTCAAATCCCATCAGAACCCCCCAAGCCCCTCAGGACCCCCCAAGTCCCACTGAGACCTCTCCAAATCTCCTCAAGACCCCCCGAACCCCTCCGCTCACCCCGCCGCTCGCTCCTGCAGCCCCACATCCTCCAGGAAATCGCCGATTTCGCGGCCCAGCCTCGCCTCGGGGCCGCTCCAGCGTTTCCAGCCTTTCTTGCGGTTCCGCGGCCCCCGGGAACGGCGCCGGGAGGCGGCGGCGGCGCCGGCCGAGCCCGCGGGGTTGAAGGCGAGGAACGACTCGGCCGCCGCCATTTCGTGAGGGAGCCGCGTGAGGGCGGGAAGGAACCGGAAATGGCGTCAGGCGGCTTCCGGCCGGAAAAAGGGCGGGAAGCCACGGGAGCCGCCATTTTAGGGAGGGGTGACAAGGCGGCGCCGCCATTTTGGGAAGGTAGCGGAGTGGAGATGTGACCAAAAAGCGGGTTTAAAATGCGTGAAAACCACGCCCGGATGTGCCTAAACCTCCCAAAATTGCCACGAGTCCTCCCAGATGTGCCCCAAACCCCTCTCGAGACGTCCTCGAACACCGCGACGAGGAACGGCCTCGCCGCCATCTTGTGAAGGACCGTAAAACAACATGGCCGCCATCTTTGGGAAGGGCGGAATGGTTTCCTTCGCCATCTTGGGAAGGACCGGAAAAGTCTTGGCGCCCTCACGGAAAAGTACCGGAAATGTTCTTGTCGCCATCTTGGTAAGGGCAGGAAACGGTGTCGTTGACGTTTCAGGAATAGCAGGAAGGGGAGACGTCGCCATCTTGGGGAGGACCGGAAGAGCTGGGCCGCCATTTTGAGAAGGGCTTGGACTGTGCCTGGCGCCATCTTGTTGAGGTCGGGGTCCATCAGCAGCTGGGACGGCCCTGTGACCCCAAATGCCCCCAAAACGGGCCCCAAATCCCCCAAAAATGTGTCCCAAATATCCCCAAAAATAAGCCCGAAAATCCCCAAAAGTAAGCCCCAAATCCCCTAAAAAATTAGCCTGAAAATCCCCAAAAATGAACCTGAAAACCCCCAAAACTGAGCCCCAAATTCCCCTAAAAATGTTCCCCAAATCCTCCCAAAAGTAAACACCAAATTCCCCAAAATTGGTCCCTAATCCCCTAAATTTGCCCTTTCTCCCCTGCACCCCAAAATTCAGGACATCACCTTCAGCCTCGCTCTGCCTTTATTGGCGATTCCTGATTTTTGGGGGATTTTAGGGTGGATTTTTAGGGGGTTTTTTTTGGTGGATTTTTGGTGTATTTCTGGCTGGTCCCTGAGCAGATTTTTTGGCTATTTCTGGGCTATTTCTGGCTGGATTTTGGGTGGATTTTCGGGGATTTTGGGGTCACTCAGCAGAGCCCTTGTGCCTCCTCTTGGAGGGCGGCACCAGGCGTGGCGGCGTCTGGGAATCCCTGATTTTGGGCTATTTCTGGGTTGATTTTGGGTGGATTTTTGGGGATTTTTGGGTCACTCAGCAGAGCCCTTGTGCCTCCTCTTGGAGGGCGGCACCAGGCGTGGCGGCGTCTGGGAATCCCTGATTTTGGGCTATTTCTGGGTGGAATTTTGGGGATTTTGGGGTCACTCAGCAGAGCCCTTGTGCCTCCTCTTGGAGGGCGGCACCAGGCGTGGCGGCGTCTGGGAATCCCTGACTTTGGGCTATTTCTGGGCTATTTCTGGGCAGATTTTGGGTGGATTTTCAGGGATTTTGGGGTCACTCAGCAGAGCCCTTGTGCCTCCTCTTGGAGGGCAGCACCAGGCGTGGCGGCGTCTGGGAATCCCTGATTTTGGGCTATTTCTGGGTGGATTTTTGGGGTTAATAATGGCATTTTGGGGTCACTCAGCAGAGCCCTTGTGCCTCCTCTTGGAGGGTGGCACCAGGCGTGGCGGCAGGTCGGCCGGCAGCCCCCGTCCCTCCAGCTTGGCCCCGATCAGGTGCCCGGCCAGCGCGAACTCCTCGTGGTCCAGCATGCCGTCCCTGTCCACGTCGCTGAGCTGCCAGATGCGCCCCAGCACCGAGCTGGGCAGGTTGCTGGCCACCATCCAGCCCTTGGCCCTCCTCCCGCTCAGCTTGCCCCCGCTGGGCGCCAGCCCGTAGAAGATCTCGTCGTACTTCGCCTTGTCCTTCATCACCACCCACTCCTCATCGTCATCGTCGCCATCCTCGTCCTCGTCGTTGTCGTCGTCCTCGGAGCCGGCGGCGCCGAAGGGGCCCAGGGCTCCGTCCAAGGCTCCCCCGCGCACGCCGGGCTCGTCCGGGGCCTCCTGGGCCAGCAGCGGGGCCAGGGCGGGCAGGTCCCGGCCCAGCAGCTCCTCCAGCTTGGTCAGGAGCCGCTGCTTCGGCCGGGGCAGGCGGGACAGGTCCTGGGCCAGCAGCTGCTCCTGGGGGGATGCAAATGGAACAAAAAATCAGCAAAAAAAAAACCAAAAAAAAAACCCAACCCAGTAGGTACCAAAAAACGCCATTAAATCAGTAAAACACCCCAGCAGGTCCCAATAGAACCCATTAAATCAGTGAAAAAAATTGGGGGTTTTGGTATCTACTGGGGGTTTTTTTGGCCAATTTTTCAGCTGCTCCTGGGGGGACACAACTGGAAAAAAATCAGCAAAAAAAACCCCAAAAAAACCCAACCCAGTAGGTACCAAAAAACGCCATTAAATCACCAAAAAACCCCAGCAGATCCCATCAGATCCCAATAGAAGCCATCAAATGAGTGAAAAAAATTGGGGTTTTGGTATCTACTGGGGTTTTTTTTGGCCAATTTTTCAGCTGCTCCTGGGGGGACACAACCGGAACAAAAAATCAGCAAAAAAAAAATCCCCAAAAAAACCCAACCCAGTCGGTACCAAAAAACCCATCAAATCACAAAAAACCCCAGCAGATCCCAATAGAACCCATCAAATGAGTGAAAAAAAATTGGGTTTTTGGTATCTACTGGGGGTTTTTTGGCCAATTTTTTCTCATTGTCCCCCAGGAGCTGCTGCTTCGGCCGGGGCAGGCGGGACAGGTCCTGGGCCAGCAGCTGCTCCTGGGGGGACGCAAACGGAACAAAAAATCAGCAAAAAAAACAAAAAAAAAACCCCAACCCAGTTGGTACCAAAAAACGCCATTAAATCAGTAAAACACCCCAGCAGGTCCCAATAGAACCCATTAAATCAGTGGAAAAAATTGGGGGTTTTGGTATCTACTGGGGGTTTTTTTGGCCAATTTTTCAGCTGCTCCTGGGGGGACACAACTGGAAAAAAATCAGCAAAAAAAACCCCAAAAAAACCCAACCCAGTAGGTACCAAAAAACGCCATTAAATCACCAAAAAACCCCATCAGATCCCAATAGAACCCATCAGATGAGTGAAAAAATCCGATTAGATCCCAGCAAAAGCCATCAAAGCACCAAAAAACCCAGCAGATATCATCCAATGGCAACAAAAGCCATTCAATCAGTTAAAAAACCCATCAGATCCCAACAGAACCCAAAAAAATCAGTGAAAATCCCATTCAGATCCCCTGGGATCCCCTCGGGCTCACCTGGATGTGGGCGCAGTCGGGCAGATCCCCGGGCGGGATCCGCTGCTCGCTCTGGATCCGGCCCAGCAGCGCCGGCAGCCGCTGCTCCAGGCGCCTCCTGCGGCCGCCCGGCAGCGCCGGCAGCTCCTCCCGGAGCCGCCGCAGCAGCAGCGCCTGCACCTGGGGCCAAAGGGATCGTTGGGATCAACTGGGATCAACCCAGAGATCCCACAGAGATCCCCCCTGGCAGCTCCTCCCGGAGCCGCCGCAGCAGCAGCGCCTGAACCTGGGCACAGGGATCGACTGGGATCAACTGGGATCAACTGGGATCAACCCAGAGATCCCACAGAGATCCCTCCCTGCAGCTCCTCCCGCAGCCGCCGCAGCAGCAGCGCCTGAACCTGGGCCAAAGGGATCATTGGGATCAACTGGGATCAACCCAGAGATCCCACAGAGATCCCCCCTGGCAGCTCCTCCCGCAGCCGCCGCAGCAGCAGCGCCTGCACCTGGGGCACAGGGATCAACTGGGATCGACTGGGATCAACCCAGAGATCCCACAGAGATCCCTCCCTGCAGCTCCTCCCGCAGCCGCCGCAGCAGCAGCGCCTGAACCTGGGCACAGGGATCAACTGGGATCGACTGGGATCAACCCAAAGAACCCACAGAGATCCCACAGAGATCCCACAGAGATCCCACAGAGATCCCTCCCTGCAGCTCCTCCCGGAGCCGCCGCAGCAGCAGTGCCTGAACCTGGGCACAGGGATCAACTGGGATCAACTGGGATCAACTGGGATCAACCCAGAGATCCCCCCTGGCAGCTCCTCCCGCAGCCGCCGCAGCAGCAGCGCCTGCACCTGGGGCACAGGGATCATTGGGATCAACTGGGATCAACCCAGAGATCCCACAGAGATCCCTCCCTGCAGCTCCTCCCGCAGCCGCCGCAGCAGCAGCGCCTGAACCTGGGCACAGGGATCGACTGGGATCAACTGGGATCAACTGGGATCAACTGGGATCAACTGGGATCAACCCAGAGATCCCTCCCTGCAGCTCCTCCCGCAGCCGCCGCAGCAGCAGCGCCTGCACCTGGGCCAAAGGGATCAACTGGGATCGACTGGGATCAACCCAGAGATCCCACAGAGATCCCTCCCTGCAGCTCCTCCCGCAGCCGCCGCAGCAGCAGCGCCTGCACCTGGGCCAAAGGGATCAACTGGGATCGACTGGGATCAACCCAGAGATCCCACAGAGATCCCTCCCTGCAGCTCCTCCCGCAGCCGCCGCAGCAGCAGCGCCTGCACCTGGGGGCACCAAGGGATCGACTGGGATCAACTGGGATCGACTGGGGATCCCACAAAGAACCCCCAGGTCCCCCAAAGCCACAGGGAGCTCCAGGGTGGTCCCAAATCCCCCCCCCAGATCCCCTTGGATCCCCTTGGATCTCCCTCAAACCCCCAAAACACCCCAAACTCCCCCAAAACTCACCTCAAATCCCCTCAAACCCCTCAGACCCCTCACCTGCACCATCCTGGCCCTCTTGACCAGGTCGTTGAGCTTGCGGCGCACGGCGTTGCGCGGCAGCAGATCCCCCCAAATCCCCCTCAAATCACCCCAAAACTGCCCCAAATCCTCCCCAAATCCCCCCAAACCCCCCCAAACCCCCCTCAAAGCCCCCAGGCCCCTCACCTGCACCATCCTGGCCCTCTTGACCAGGTCGTTGAGGTTGCGGCGTGCGGCGTTGCGCGGCAGCAGATCCCCCCAAATCCCCCTCAAACCACCCCAAAAGTGCCCCAAACCCCCCTCAAACCACCCCAAAACTCCCCTAAACCCCCTCAAACCCCCTCAAACCCCCCAAAACCCCCTCAAACCCCTCACCTGCACCATCCTGGCCCTCTTGACCAGGTCGTTGAGCTTGCGGCGCGCGGCGTTGCGCGGCAGCTCGCGGATCTCGCGGAACAGCGCCCGCTCCTCGGTCTCCAGGAGGCGCCGGTGGCCGTCCTGCAGCAGGGGCCGGTCCCAGAAGGAGCCCACGAACACCCGGGGCACCTCGGGGGCGTCCAGGGCGCGGCCCAGGCCCCAGAGCAGGGCCCCGTAGACGCGGAGCAGCTGCTGGGCGCCCACGGCGTCGGCCTTGTTGAGCACCACGCGCAGCTTCTCCTCGTGGCCCCGCAGCGCCGCCAGCGCCGCCGCCAGCTCCTCCGACACCTCCAGCTTGTGCGCGTCAAAGAGCAGGATCACCAGGTCTGAGCGCTCGGCAAACCAGCGCAGCACCGCTGGGAAGTCATAGCCTGGGAAAGGGGTGGGATTTGATCCTGAAACAGCCCTAAATCCATCCTAAATCAACCCTAAATCCATCCTAAATCCAGCCCAAGAACCAGCGCAGCACCGCCGGGAAGTCATAGCCTGGGGAATGTATGGGATTTGATCCTAAATCCATCCTAAATCAACCCTAAATCAATCCTAGAACCAGCACAGCACCGCCGGGAAGTCATAGCCTAAAACAGATGTGGGATTTGATCCTAAATCCTGATGGAAAACCCTAAATCCATCCTAAATCCATCCTAAAACCAGCCCAAGAACCAGCACAGCACCGCCGGGAAGTCATAGCCTGGAACAGGGGTGGGATTTGATCCTAAATCCTGATAGAAAACCCTAAATCAACCCTAGAACCAGCGCAGCACCGCTGGGAAGTCATAGCCTAAAAAATAGATGGCATGTGATCCTAAATCCATCCTAAATCAACCCTAAATCAATCCTAGAACCAGCGCAGCACCGCCGGGAAGTCATAGCCTGGAAAAGGGGTGGGATTTGATCCTAAATCCTGATGGAAATCCTAAATCCGTCCTAAATCCATCCTAAATCCATCCTAAATCCAGCCCTAGAACCAGCGCAGCACCGCCGGGAAGTCATAGCCTGGGGAAAAGGTGGGATTTGATCCTAAATCCATCCTAAATCCATCCTAAATCAATCCTAAATCCATCCTAAATCCATCCTAAATCAATTCTAAATCAGCCCTAGAACCAGCGCAGCACCGCCGGGAAGTCATAGCCTGGAAAAGGTGGGATTTGATCCTAAATCCATCCTAAATCAATCCTAAATCCATCCTAAATAAATCCTAAATCAATCCTAAATCAGCCCTAGAACCAGTGCAGCACCACCGTGAAGTCATAGCCTAAAAAATGTATGGGATTTGATCCTGAAATCCTGATAGAAACCCCTAAATCCAGCCCTAAATCCATCCTAAATCCATCCTAAATCCATCCTAAATTCAGCGCAGCACCGCCGGGAAGTCATAGCCTTGGAAAGGGGCAGGATTTGATCCTAAATCCTGATGGAAAACCCTAAATCCATCCTAAATCCATCCTAAATCCATCCTAAATCCAGCCCAAGAACCAGCACAGCACCGCCGGGAAGTCATAGCCTGGGAAAGGTGTGGGATTTGATCCTAAATCCATCCTAAATCCATCCTAAATCCATCCTAAATCCAGCCCTAGAACCAGCGCAGCACCGCTGGGAAGTCATAGCCTGGGAAAGGTGGGATTTGATCCTGAATCAACCCTAAATCAACCCTAAATCAATCCTAGAACCAGCGCAGCACCGCTGGGAAGTCATAGCCTAAAAAATGTATGGCATGTGATCCTAAATCCATCCTAAATCAACCCTAAATCCATCCTAAATCCAGCCCTAGAACCAGCGCAGCACCGCCGGGAAGTCATAGCCTAAAAAATAGATGGGATTTGATCCTAAACCAGCCCTAAATCCATCCTAAATCAACCCTAAATCCATCCTAAATCCAGCCCTAAAACCAGCCCAAGAACCAGCGCAGCACCGCCGGGAAGTCATAGCCTGAAACAGATGTGGGATTTGATCCTAAATCCTGATGGAAATCCCTAAAACCAGCCCTAAATCCAGCCCTAGAACCAGCGCAGCACCGCCGGGAAGTCATAGCCTGGGGAATACATGGGATTTGATCCTGAAATCCCGATAGAAAACCCTAAACCCATCCTAAATCAATCCTAAATCCATCCTAAATCCAGCCCTAGAACCAGCGCAGCACCACCTGGGGGAAAATGTGGGGTTGGATCCTCAAATCCTAATGGAAATCCCAAATCCTGCCCAAAACCACCCCCATTCCCAAATCCCTTTTTTCCCTTTTTTTCCCTTTTCTCCTTTTTGCCCCATTTTTCCCCTTTCTGCACCATTTCCCCTCCATTCCCAAACCTCCCTTTTTTCCCCTTTCTTTCCCTTTTTTCCCTTTTTTTTTCCCATACACTCCCCATTCCTAAATCCCTTTTTCCCTTTTTTTCCCTTTTTCCCCCCTTTTTTCCCCCCATTTTCCAAACCCCCATTCCCAAATCCCTTTTCCCCTTTTCCTCCCTTTTTTCCCTTTTCCTCCCCATTCCCGGTCATTCCCAAATCCCTTTTTCCCCTTTTTTTCCCCCTTTTCCCCCTTTTTTCCCCCTTTTTTTCCGTTTTTCTCCCCATTCCCAAATCCCTTTTTCCCCTTTTTTCCCCATTTTTCCCCTTCTTTCCCTTTTCCCTTTTTCCCCTCTTTTTTCCCCATTTTTCCCCTTTTTTCCCTTTTTTCCCTTTTTTCCCCCATTTTTCCTCCCCCATTCCCTCCCCCCTTTTTCCCCTCCCCCCCTTTCCCGCCCCTCCCCCCCTTGGCGCCGTCCCCGCATTTTGGGGTGGGGGAGGAAGCGGGGGGGGGAGGGGCCGGGGGGGGGTTGGGCCCCGCCCGGAAATTTTGGCGAAATTCCCGGGAATTCGGGGTGGCCCCGCCCCCGCCCGGGCACAATTCCCAAAAATTCAAAAAAAACCCCAAAAAAAACCGCCTCAAAATGCGGCCCGAACACCCCAAAATATCCCCAAAAATCCTTAAAAATTCCCCCAAAAACGCCTCCAAATCCATCCCGAGCACCCCAAAAATCCCCTGAAAACATCCCAAATTCCCCAAATCGCCCCCAAAATCCCCAAAACTCCTCCAAATCCATCCCGAGCACCCCTAAATATCCAAATTTCACAAAATCTCCTCAAAACCTGTCCCGAGCACCCCAAAACTTTCCCTTAAAATTCCCAAAATTCCCCCAAATTCCCCAAAATGTCCGAAATTTCCTCAATTCCCCTCCCCAGTTCTGGGTCCCCTCCCATGGGATTTTTTTGGTTTTTTTTTGGTTTTTTTTTTTCCCAGATTTTTTCGGCTCCCCCCAATTTTGGGGACCCGTCCTCAAATTCGGGGACCCTTCCTTAATTTTAGGGACCCCTCCCCAAATTCGGGGTCCCCTCTCCTTTTCTTCACAGACAAATTTCCAACCCAAATTCCGGATTTTTTGGGGTTTTTTTTGGTTTTTTTTCCCGGATTTTTTCGGCTCCCCTCAATTTTGGGGACCCATCCCCAGTTCCAGGGACCCCTCCCCAATTTGGGGTCACCTCCCCAAATTCGGGGTCCCCTCTCCTTTTATTCACAGACAAATTTCCAGCCCCAATTCTGGATTTTTGGGTTTTTTTTTGTTTTTTTGTTTTTTTCTGGGATTTTTTCAGCTCCCCTCAATTCCGGGGACCCCTCCCCAGTTTCGGGGACCCCTCCCCAATTTTAGGGACCCCTCACCCCTGCAGAGGCTCTGCCTGGGCCCCGCCAGGATCCCGGGGGTGTCGATCAGGGTGAGGCTCTCCAGCACCCGATTGTTCAGCGTGGCACAAACGAACCTGGGCAGGGGTGGGAAAGGGTTAAAAAAATCCCAAATGAAACAAAAAAAACCCCAAAATAAACCCCCAAAAAAACTGCCCCAAAAAAACCCCCAAAAACCAAAACAGAACCAAAAAAAACCCCCCCAAAATAAACCCCAAAAAAACCTCCCCCCCGCCAAAAAACCAAACCAAAACAAAACCACCCCAAAACTGACCCAAAAAACCCCAAAATAAACAAAAAAAAATTCCCAAAATAAACCTAAAAAAAGGAGAAAAAAAAGAGGGAAAAGGGGGATCCCAGGATGGGTCTTGGGGTGGATCCCAGGGTGGATCCCGGGGTGGATCCCAGGGTGGATCCAAGCTCAGCTCCTGCCCCATCTTGCACCTGATCCCAGCCCCAACTCAACCATTGAGGAACCCAAACCTGGTGGATCCCAGCCCAGATCCAAGGGTGGATCCCAGCCCAGATCCCTCCAGACACCTCAGGGTGGATCTCAGTTGAGGAACCCATTCCCAGAGGATCCCACCACAGATCCCAGGGCAGATCCCAGCCCATATTCCAGGGTGGATCCTGATGGATCCCAGCCCCAACTCAACAATTGAGGAACCCAAACCTGCTGGATCCCAGCCCAGATCCCAGCACACCCCTCAAGCTGGATCCTGGTGGATCCCAGCCCCACTCACCGGTTGAGGAACCCATTCCTGGTGGATCCTGGTGGATCCCAGCCCAGATCCCATCCCAGACCCCATCCCCGCTCACCGGTTGAGGAACCCAATCCCAGTGGATCCCAGCCCGGATCCCATCCCAGATCCCACCCCTCCAGGTGGATCCCACCCCTCTCACCGGTTGAGGAAGCCGTTCCTGGTGGATCCCATCCCAGATCCCACCCCAGATCCCAGCTGATCCCACCCCTCTCACCGGTTGAGGAACCCATTCCCGGTGGATCCCATCCCAGATCCCAGCAGATCCCACCCCTCTCACCGGTTGAGGAAGCCGTTCCTGCTGAATCCCAGCCCAGATCCCAGCCCAGATCCCACCCCAGATCCCATCCCAGCAGATCCTACCCCTCTCACCGGTTGAGGAAGCCGTTCCCAGTGGATCCCACCCCAGATCCCACCCCAGATCCCACCCCAGATCCCACCCCTCTCACCGGTTGAGGAAGCCATTCCTGCTGGATCCCAGCCCAGATCCCACCCTTCAAGGTGGATCCCACCCCTCCAGCTGATCCCACCCCTCTCACCGGTTGAGGAACCCGTTCCCGGTGGATCCCATCCCAGATCCCATCCCAGATCCCACCCCAGATCCCAGCTGATCCCACCCCTCTCACCGGTTGAGGAAGCCGCTGCCGAAGGCCTCCAGCTGCCGGAAGGGTTTGCTGGGATCCAGCACGAGGGCGTTGCCGGGGATCAGCCCCGGGCCCGGGCCGTGCATCACGGCCACGAAGCCGTCGGTGCTGGGCTCGGGGCCCAGGCGCGCGCCCGGCACCGGCTCCTCCAGCAGGTACCGGATCAGGGAGCTCTTCCCGCTCGAGCACTGGCCCAGCACCAGCACCATGGGCTTGGCCTCGAAGTCGCCGGGGCCCAGCGGGGGCCAGCGCAGCCCCGCGCGCCCGCAGAGCCGCTCCAGGGGCAGCAGCTTGGAGCGGTACAGGGAGCCCAGCGCCGCCGGCAGCGCCGGCTCCGGCACCGGGACCGCCCCGCGGGGACGGCGCAGGCGGCGGAACATGGGGGGGGATAAATGGGGGAGATAAATGGGGGAGATAAATGGGGGAGATAAATGGGGGGGAGATAAATGGGGGATAAATGGGGGGGATAAATGGGGGAGATAAATGGGGGAGATAAATGGGGGGGATAAATGGGGGGAGATAAATGGGGGGAGATAAATGGGGGGAGATGGGGGTGCAGAGGGGTCTGAGGGGGTTTAGGGGAGTTTTAGGGGGGTCTTTGAGGGGGTTCAGGGGGGTTAGGGGGATATAGGGGGGTCTTTGAGGGGGTTTTAGGGGGGGTCAGGGGGGTCTTTGAGGGGTTTTGTGGTATTTTAGGGGGGGTTAAGAGGGATTTTAGGGGATTTTTATGGCGTTTCGGGGAATTTTAGGGGGGGTTTGGGGAGATTTAGGGGGATCTTTGAGGGGTTTGGGGGGATTTTAGGGGGGTTTAGGGGGATTTAGGGGGTTTTAGAGGGATTTTAGGGGGGCTTTTAGGGGTTTAGGGGGGATTCAGGGGGATCTTTGAGGGGTTTTGGGGGATTTTAATGGGGGGTTTGGGGGGGTCTTAGGGAGTTTAGGGGGATCTTTAAGGGGTTTTGGGGGATTTTAGGGGGGGTTTAGGGAGGTTTTAGGGTTTTTGGGGGGATTTTAGGAGAGTTAAAGGGGACTTTAGGGGGATTTCAGGGGTTTTGGAGGAATTTTAGGGGGGATTTCAGGGGTTTTGATGGAGTTTTAGGGGGAATTTTAGGGGATTTTAGAGGGGCTTTAGGGTGGGAATGGGAGGATGGAACCCCCTTCTGGAACTGGAGATCTTCAGGTAGAGAGGAGATCCAGATGGATCCCAAGCGGTTTTAGGGGGATTTTAGGGGGAATTTGGGGGATTTTGGGCAGATTTGGGGGATTTTAGGGAGATTTGGGGGATTATAGGGGGGTTTTAGGGGGTTTCAGGGGACTTAAGGGGATTTTAGGGGGAATTTAGGGGGATTTAGGTTTTTTTTTTAATTTTACTTTTTAGGGGATTTTAGGGGGAAATGGGAAAAAATGGGGAAAAATGGGGAAAAAAACAGGAAAAAATGGGAAAAAACCAGGAAAAACGGGAAAAAACAGTAAAAACCTGGGAAAAAATGGGGAAAAAAGGGGAAAAGTGGGGAAGGGGGAGGGGCTCAGCTGGAGGGGGGGAGCCATGGGGGGGGAGGGGAGGGATTCCCACCTGGACCCCCCCAGACGGGGCAGAAAAAGGAGAATTTTGGGGCTTTTGGGTGGAAACCAAAGCAAAAACCCCCAAATCTTGGGGATTTAGCCCCAAAAATCCAGGTGGGAAAAGAGATTCAAGGAGGGGGGAAAGGAGATTTCGGGAGCTGGGCTGGAAAAATGAGGGGAAAAACGAGGATTTGAGGGGTTTTTCCTGCAGTAATGAGGAGAAAAACAAAGTTTTTGGGAGCTTTTCCTTAAAAGGAGGGAAAAAACGGAGCTGGAGGAATTTTTTCCATAAATCCGAGCCAGAAGTGAAAGTTCAGGGTGGAGCTGTCGCAAACTGAGGGAAAATGAGGGCGCTGGGAGATTTTTTTTCCTGTCAAAACAAGCGGAGAAACGAAGTTTTAGGGATTTCCCTAAAAAATCAAGGGGAAAAACGAGGATTTTTGGGGGAATTTCCTGTAAAAACAACGAGGAAAAAACAAAATTCCAGGGATTTGTTCCCCACAAATCCTGGCCGGAAAAGGAAATTTTAGGGATTTTTTTTTTTTTTTCTGTAAAATCCGAGTCCAAACCGTGAAGTTTTTGGGATTCCCTGCTGGAAATGGAGCGGGAAAAGGGAATTTTGGGGATTTTGGGGATTTTTTCCCCCAGGAAAAAGAAGAAATCCCAAACTTTCCCCCCCAAAGAGGTGGAAACCCCAAAGTTCCCGGAATTCCCTCGCTCCCAATCCCACAAAAATCCCTTCGCCCTCCCTGCCCGGGGGAAAATCCCCGTTTTCCCACCCCAAATTTCCCATTTTCCCGCCCCAAAAATCCCCATTTTCTGCCCCAAAATTTCGCATTTTTCCGCCCCAAAATTCCCCATTTTTCCCGCCCCAAGTTCCCCGATTTTTCACCCCAAAAATCCCCGGTTTTCCACCCCAAAATTCTTCATTTTCCACCCCAAAATTCCCATTTTTTCCCCCCTGGGTGCGGCCGGGGCGGGGCCGGCGCCGGTCCCGGAGTTTTTTTTTTCCCAAAGTTTTTTTTTTCCCGGATTTTTTCCCCGATTTTTTTCCCAGAGTTTTTTATTTTTCCCAAAGTTTTTTTTTTTTTTTCCGGATTTTTCATTCCTGAATTTCATTTTTCCCGAAGTTTTTTTTTTTTTTTTTTTTCCCGGACTTTTTTTTGCCTGTATTTTTTCCTTTTTTTTTTTTTTTCCCGGATTTTTTTTTCCCGTTTTTTTTTCCCCCAGATTTTTTCCCCGGTTTCTTTTTTCCCTGATTTTCATTTTCCCGACCTTTTCCCGGCGCTTTTCCCGCTCCTTTTTTCCGGCGATTTCGCCCCAAAGCCGCGGGCGCCGCTCTGAGCCTCAAAAACCTCCGGGAGGGGCTGAAAAAACTCCGCTCATTTGCATAAATTAGCATAAATCTCCATAAGCCGAGCCCGCCGGCAGCGCTGCGCCATAAAAGAGCAACGGGAGTTAATGAAGGGGGCGGGGCCAAATTAATGAATTAATTAATGAGAGCGGGGGGGGGCCCTGGGGGGGAGCGAGGGACGAGCGAGGAGGGACCCGGGGGGGCCCAAATCCCAAAAATCCCAAAAAACCCCAAAATCTCAAACCCCCAAAAACACAAAAATCTGAAAAAAACCCCAAAAAACTAAAAAATATCAAACCCAAAAACCCCCAAAATCCAAAACACCAAAACCCCCCAAAATTCCAAAAAAAAACCCAAAATCCCAAAAATCTCAGAAATCACAAAAATCCCAAACCCCAAAAATAAAAAAAAAACCCCAAAATGCCCCCAAGACACCAAAGACCCCCCAAAATTCCAAAAAGTCCCCAAAATCCCAACCCCCCAAAATCTCAAGCCCAAATCCCAAAAATATCAAAAATGCCAAAAATCCCAAACCCCAAAATGCCCCCAAATTCCAAAAAACCCCAAAATCTCAAACCCCCAAAATCCCAAACCTCAAAAATGCTAAAAAAGCCAAAAATCCCAAATATCAAAAACCCCAAATATCTCAAACTCCAAACCCCAAAAACCCCAAAAATCAAAAACCCAAAAAACTCCAAAAATCCCCAAAACCCCCAAAAATCAAAAACCCAAAAATCCCCAAAAATCAAAAACCCAAAAATCCCCAAAAATCAAAAACCCAAAAAACCCCAAAAATCCCCAAAACCCCCAAAAATCAAAAACCCAAAAACCCCAAAACCCCCCAAAATCCCAACCCCCAAAAAAATCCCCAGACCCAAAACCCCCAAAAACCCCAAAACCCCCAAATCCCTCTCAGCCCCTCCCCAAATTCCCAATTTTTTGGGAATTTTCCCTTTCCCGCAGTTTTGCCCATTAACCCCCTCATTGCCGGGCGCACGAACGAGCCGTTGTTAATTAAAAGCGATTTTAATTTACACAGAAATAGTAAATGTCCGGAATTCCTTAAAAAACGCGCTATGGACAATAAATACAGTACAAAATTCCAGCCGGGAAAATTCCGGGAATTTCCCTCCGGCCCAAAAATCCGGGAACCGACCCCAAAAAATCCCCCCCAGGGAGGCCGGGAACAGCGGCAGGGAAAGGGTTAAAAAAAAACCCAAAAAACCCCAAAATTTGGGATGGAAATGGTTAAAAAAAAAAAACAATTTTGGCAAAAAGAAGGGAAAATAAAGGGTTAAAAATGCCCCCAAATCTGGGGATAAAAATGGGAGGGAAAGGGTTAAAACAACATCAAATTTTGGGATGGGAATGGTTAAAAAAAACCAAAACCAAATTTAGTGATGGAAAGGGTTAAAAAAACCCCCAAATTTTGGGGAAAAATGGGAGGAAAAGGGTTAAAAATGGGAATTTTTCGGGGGGGAGGGGCCAAAAAAAAAAAGGCATTTTGGGCTTTAAAATGAGATTTTTGGGGCTAAAATGGGATTTTTTTAAATGAGAACGGAGATTTCTGGGGTGAAAAATGGGATTTTGGGGCCAAAAAGGGATTTGGGGGCAGAAAAGGGGATTTTGGGCCTCTGGGGTTTTTCCCATTCCCTTCCCATCCCCGATGGGTTTGGGGTTTCCCATCCCGGGGCCGATCCCAAATCCCCAAATCCCCAAATCCCCAAATCCCCAAATCCCCGCTGCTCTTCCCAGTCCTGATCCCATTCCTGATGATCCCAATCCCAATCCTGATCCCAGTCCTGATCCCATTCCTGATCCCAGTCCCAATCCCGCTCTGATCCCGACCCCAATCCTGGTCCTGGTCTGTTCCTGTTCCTATTCCTGGTCTGATCCTGATCCTATTCCTTGTCCATTCCTGATCCCAATCCCGATCCTGATCCTATTCCTGCTCCATTCCCGATCCCATTCCCGGTCTGATCCTGATCCCATTTCCTGATCCCATTCCCAATCCCATTCCTGATCCCGGTCTGATCCCGATCCCCTTCCTGGTCCATTCCCAATTCTGTTCCCATTCCTGCTCTGATCCCATTCCCATTCCCGTTCCATTCCTGGGATCCCCGTCTGTTCCTGTTCCCATTCCCGATCCCAATCCCGATCCCGACCCTGCTCCATTCCTGAACCCAATTCTGATCCTGATCCCATTGCCAATCCCGTTCCATTGCCGATCCCATTCCATTCCCAGTATCCCAATCCCAGTTTGATCCCAATCCCAGTTTGATCCCATTCCATTCCCAATCCCATTCCCATTCCCAACCCCGTTCCATTGCTGATCCCGTTCCATTCCCAGTATCCCAATCCCGTTCCATCCCCGCTGTCCCGGTTGGATCCCGGTCTGATCCCGGTGTCTCGATCCCGTTCCGTTCCCGGTTGGATCCCGGTCTGATCTGGATCTCCTGTTCCCGG